CTTCCATTCTCTATCGTCGGCCCTCGTCCCCGCAGCTATCGTCGTCACACATCGTCTCGCTTTCCCTCATTCAATGTCAAAATTTCCAAGACCCGCCCTCACGGTTGCCTGTGACTCAGCATTCCCCACCAGTGACACTACAGAACACACCTCACTCCAAATGCGACTATTTTACAAGTAGCACTCATTTTTTATTTTATATTGTACCCTTATTACACAGTTACATGATTATCGTCGTTAGTATAGTTTTCATACGTCTGTGTTATCTGTTCTTATGACCTCCGCATATCTATGTTGGGCTTGGTGCTTACCAATTCTATTCAGTATTCCCACGACCAAAGGTGCTTGTTTATCCGTATGTGTGTCCCTCAAAACGGGCCACATGGTAGATGTACTCGGCCAACACGGGGTCATATCGGATTCTGGCGGGTGTAATCGGATAGCGCACCATGACAAATGCCGTCATTTCGGGGAGCGGTGGCAGACTCAGTTGCCAGTGGACGTCAAGCGCACTGGGACCCCTGCAGCCCCTCCCCTCTTGTTGTTGTTATTGTTGGCTAAATACGTGGTCATTTGCTGTGTGGACAAGGGGGGGTGTGATGTGGAACGCCAAGGTGCGGGCCCGACCGCGCTGTCCACCTGCGCCCTTCCTCGCCTCCGGTCTTCGTGACTCTGTCTTGACACCGGGTCCATGTGGGGGAGGAGAGAGTGCGATGGATGCTGTGCAAGTCCACTATCACTATAAACTAGCTCACGCGCAAGTCACCGACCCTGCTCTCACCTTGCTGTGGAGCAAACGGTGGACATCGTCGGCAACAACGACCGAACTATCGTGTGTACCACACTCAAAGTAAGTAGTCGACCGCTACATGGAAACCAATGGATAGTGACACTCGGTCGGTCAGTTGGGAACTGTCGAAGGCGCAACCTCTAGCCCAGTTTAAAATCGCGATACATTTGCCATATTCAACAAAATAAATTTCGGTGATATGATTTTGCTATACAGAGCTGATATGAATGCACCCGTCTGACATGCACGATTTTACAAGACGTACTGACTTTGATTGCACGCTTGACTTTTCTGAAATTTACAATAGTTTTTTTCAAGGCAGTTTAATCGAGGAATGCAAAAACGTCCTCAAGTCCTTTTTCCAGAGGGGACGAAACACACAGACGACTATGGTCGCCTAGTCAATGGGAAACACACCCAGTAAGCTGTGCGGCTGCTGGTTGGGATCGAGAAAGAGAGAGAGAGCCCGACGAGTGAGATCCTTGAGCGCCCTCTTACCAGTCCTTCAGTAATTATTAGTAGAAACGCAAAGGAAGGGTTATCAGTTGCAATGGAATTCCAGATTAATTTTTTTGAGGTAGCACAGCATGCGTTATTTTGTAATTCCGGTCTAGATTCAGAACATGGCATATTTCTAACGGAATATTTATGTAATAATATAACCTAGATACATCTGAAGATGAAGATAAGCTCTCCATACTGAAGTCCACTTAGTTCCCCTCGACGGAGTGGTGACTTACAAAGCACACAGGCAAAACGCCCGTCAACCATCTCCCGAGAGGCCGAGGCAGTGAGAGGAGAGAAAATTCGATCAGCATGAGGCCGGCCAACACAACATGCCACTTTAAATTAAATTTCTGATCGATTTTACGCTTTGACAATGAAGAGACGACCCAGCTCTTTGAAACGTCAGCAATTAAATAAACCTGTTCCGGAGAGTTTATCTTCATCTTCAAATAAGCAACCCGGATATCTCAACTTTGCCAATCGAGATACATCTGACACAGCCAAATACATGAACTGGTCTCTAAATGAACAAAAATTGACTAACTGAAAGTCCGGCCCAAAATAGAAGGCTATGTTAGACCGTCCATTTCAGAGACCACTAATGCATTAAGAAGGTGTGTAATCGCACGTAGTCTCTTTAATTAATTAAACAACTGATCCGTCTAATGACATTATTTGCACTCCCAAACAATCCCAAAGGGCATCCTAAACTTCTGAATGTGATTTCACGTTCACGGCGTCCATTGTGTTGAGGCCCATCAACTAGCTTTTTGTATATCGCATGGTATCATATCATGCAATTTGGATATCTATTAAGTCTAGACCACATGCTACCGCGTTTATATATGATGCAGCATTGTTCTGTGTTCGTGTCTCGATGATGGTTCTATCAATTTAGTTTGATTATAGTTGGTGCAGCAATGCAAAGTGAATTCCCGGGTTAGTTATGCTGGAAATGGACGCCGAAGCGTCACGAGCCAACAAGAGAACGGTGCTTTAGTCAAAAGTGGAGAAGGGAATGAGTTGGTGGCAGGTTAAACGAGAGATAAAGACAAGGTTGCCCAGACTACTCATAAATATTATAAAAGGCCCTCAAATCATGCTAAATATATACGAGTAATGAAAGCCAATCGTTATATTCTAAATTTAACTTTCGATAGCGGCGAGAAGAGGCGATGAACTATCTTCTTTGAGCGCCTATAACATCCACTCAGTTAGTTAGTCGAGACACTTTGAAGAGTGTGTGGAAAGTAATGAAAGAACCAGGTAAAACGAAAACCATTGAGTTTGTCCATTCGCATCGGCTGGTGGTCAGAACGTTGGCTGTACTAAAGCCTTTCACTTGCTGTGGTGGGTTCGAATCCCACCGGTGCAGCGAGTTTTTCACAGTTGGGTCAAAATGCATCTAGGTTTTAGGTTAATCTCCACTTTGACATCTCCAGGTAGGCGACGCCAGAGAATGAAAACCTGAAAGCTCCATCGTTTCGGTACGGTTTATTGTATCTGGTTGTTCATTTTTTAACTACCTCACTGGGCTATTTAAAGCAGCCTAATTCTTCATACTGACGGACATCAATCTCGAAAGGTGTCATGTTTGGTGGACCGACCAATTTGCCGACTTCATCCATCCGTTAAGCCAAAGCTTGAGACTAGAAGAGCGACATGATCAGTGTTGTTGCGATCAGTAATCCGGCGATTGGGTATAAATGCAACACTCAAAATTGTGTAATGCCTTTCCGGTATTCCCGTCAACAGCGTAGCTGATCAGCACGAACCATAAAATAAATTAGCGTCAAACGATAGACCAAACATCGAGTGGATGGGAGAGATTGCTTTGGACCAGAGCATGTGTACTGTTGCGGTGAGAGTAGACTCTGAAGATGATGAATTTTGATGGCATGCCATGTAGATTCTTAACCAATCACAGAGAATCGGGATTAACAGAATCGATCTCTGCGGCAAAGTAAACAAAGGAGACGGCCGTCGGTTGTTACCCGTGATTTCGAAGATCGGAAATGTGTCACAATGTGAATATTTGATCCGAGCATCCACGCCCAACGCGAGTCATGCAACCTTTTAATCGCCATAGACTAACAACACAGAAGGCCTTAGCATCAACGTCGATTGGACTCATGCCGCGGTGGTTTTCGCTACTCGCCCAATCACTGACTGGAGCCAGGACGCTGGAGTGTCAGCACACGGCTTTTGAATCTCAGTGAGAAAACCGTCCTCTCTAAAAGTCTTGTTGTTGTTTTGCGGTCTACGTGTAAGATGGAAGATGTCTTCCTGAGGGAGATTAAGGGCTTTCTCTGCAAAGGCTGGAGAGGGGGAGGAAACTCTGCTCCTGAGCAGATCGGCTGATCAAAATACTCATTCCAGAATGCGCCCCTCTGGCCGATTTGTTGACAAAAAAGCTGCCATCCATATAGCGAACAAAGTGACCCAATACTAACTTGACGAATGATTTGGTAGTTCAAGAGTATTGCCGACGTTTGAGACGGTGGTTAGCCTCAGGATGAATGCTAAGTGGTCTGGATTGCAATAAGTACAGCGTCCCGATATCACGAATGTCTGATGACCTACGCAACGCAGTATCCTTGTATCCAGCTTTATCATCAATGTTGAGAAGAGTTAATTGTTAGGCTGGTCTGGTTGAATCCAAATCGGTGTGTTACACGAGCTCTGCTCTCGCTATTCGTGTGTGCGAAAATATTATCTTCGCCTACTGGCGTTATGTGTACACATCGAAACGAAACCTTCTGCCTATAATTCAATCCCCACCTCCCGCCTCCCCCCACGGTCTTCTTTTGCTGACTTGGCACACGTCAGTCTACTTGGCAGTTAACACACGCCATAGGCGACTTCTAGGTAGCTTAGCCTTGATCAAATAAAAAATTGTGACTTCTTCTTTGGTAATTTACCCCCTCCCACTCCTGTGCCAACCACCGCCCAATCGAATTGGCTCTGTGCTGCCATCAACCAATCAGAACCTGCAGGTCGTCAGCGCGTGCATGCATGCGTGTGTAACGTCTTGAGCCACAGTAAAAGACAGCCTTCGTGGCCCTCGTAGCATTCCGTCTCTGCTGCTCTGGTTATTTCTCCGAATGGCGCTCCCACAGGCAAAAGTATTCGAAGACCAATTTCCCCTGATTCGAAGCTGTCCTGCGTTGAACGAAATTCGTCTTGCTCAGGACATAAAGGATCTGCGAATTGAGGTAGGTTTTCTTACTGCTGACTTTTGTGTGTATGTTTGCCAGGTTAAGGGCGGGGCAGTATTCCACGCCCATCGAATAATATTAGCGGCCCGTGTTCCTTCTTTGCGAGCCGCTCTCAGTGGTCCCCTCGGGGAGGAGAATTCGGTTCTCAGATGGCCCACAGTGCCTCTCAAGTTAAATTTCCATCGATTCTCTGATTTTGCTTTATCCATGCGCACTTTATAGCCTCGCAAATACATTCATTCAGTATGTCTACACGGGTCAGGTGGAGATGACGCAAAGTAATGCGAGAGGCATGGTAACGCTTGCCAAAATGGTCAAACTGCCTGACCTTGTGAACTGGGGAGTTACATTCATGGTCAGAGGGTAACTATCGTCCTGGCCTTACCTACGCACACTAAAGTCTCAATGTAGAAACTCTGCCAGCAATTTGGGACTTTGCCAGGACCCTGAATGTCGAAGTACTGGCGGAGAAGTGTATCGGCCTGATGAAGGAGCAGTTTGAGCACTTCATTCAAACTGACCTCTTTGTCAGCTTGCCCGCCGAAACGGTGCTCACTCTGCTCCGCAGCGATGATATCTCGGTGGAATCTGAGGAGCAGGTCATTTGGGCCATTGCGCGCTGGGTGGACGCCGATGGTGTTGCCGATGATGAGAAGCTGAGAGTGTACGCTCCGGCAATGCTGAAGGAGGTGCAATGGCAGCTGACGAGCGTGCAGTGTCGCAGTCGCCTGCTGGATAGTTATCCAATACTACGGAAAAGCCCCGAATGTCTGTAAGCTGATGTCATTTCAGCCCTGTTACTTTGAGATAAAAGTTGTCTTATGCTTCAGGTGGAGCAGTGGATTGGCGCTGCAGAAAAGGACAAGCCTCCTCGCCCCTTCAACATCAGGCCACGCCTATGCCAGACGCTCTTCGTCTTTGGAAAGGATAAAGGTCAAAACAGGTACTCTGTCCTCCGCGTTGACGCGCACCTGCGTCGGGCAGAACGAATTGCTGACATGAAGGGTCCTCGTAGTTATGCCTCCTACAGTGTCGTGGGCGGTGAGTTGCCGGACAGCGCATGCCGTTTGTTTACGTGCTTGAAGTCTAATGTGTGTCTCTGTGTGCGCGCAGCATTTGCCATTGCGTAGGCATCTCGAGCTCTTGAGTTAGTCCACAGAAGCAGCTGCAGGTGCTGTTTTGAAGAAAGCAAATTAATTAGGAACTTGAACAAGTAAGCTATTTGTTGTGACTGGCGCCTGTCTAGGGGTTCCGTTTTTAAAGATGGCCGGTCGGCCAGTAACTTTTGTGTAAGTACACTCAGCTGGCCGCCATATGCATAACCTTTTCCACCTTCCACCGGAAGAGAGCATTTTCGTTGTTGGTGGAGGATGCAACCCAGTGCGTGCTGATGTCGACGAGTTTTTGGCGAGAGAAGGACGCTGGCGCGAGCGTACGCCCCTCGCCTTTGCACGCTGGGAGCACGCAGCCGCAGTCATAAATGTGCCCGCCACCGCCGCCGCCGCCGCCGCCGCAGCCGATGAGAAGACGCTGATTGGCGTTTTTGATGGATGGGGTAGAGATGCACGCCTTTCCTCCTGTGAGCTCTATGACGTCAGTCAGGACAGGTGAGAAGACGCCGGTCGTTGTGGCACATCCATTTTTGCCATTAATATCACTCACTCACTGTCCCTCTTACCCTCCGCTTCCCCTGCACAGATGGCACAAACTGCCCGATCTGCCGGAAAAGAGGAGCAGTTCGGCTGCTGCCTGCCTACCCGGCGACAGTCAGGTCTTCGTTTTTGGCGGTTGCGATGACTCCTCTTCCCCGCTGGCTTCCGTGGTCTTCTGCCATTTGCGGGCAGACTGGCAGGGACAGGGGACACCAACGGAGTTTTGGCAGCCAGCTGCCCCCATGAGAATCGCACGACGGGGGCTCGCAGCGACGCCATTTCGGGGAGCAATCATGGTCGCCGGTGGATACGATGGCCAAAGGACTCTCAATGTCGTGGAGATGTTCTCGCTGCCAGACGCCAGCATACCCCTCGGCCAGTGGACAACGCTGGCCGGCATGAAGCAGCCTCGCTGGTACTTCACTCTCCTCACCTCCGCCAAGGCTCTCTTTGCCCTCGGTAAGGCGACACACAGATTAGATGGATCCTTTCATGCTATTTGCTGGCCTCTTTCATGTAAATCCATTTTTATTCTACAAAGCTGAATGATTACAGCATCTGGAAGGTGACGCCAGATCCAACTGTAATCTGTGACTGACGCCGTGGAGGGTTTTCTCCTGCGCACTGCGCCATCAGAGCCAGAGGCAGAAGATATCATTGTGAATACTTCCGATCCTTTATTTTTTTAACAAACTTATTTCTCTCTGGCGCATTTCCTTTTCAAATGCCACTTCCTTATGACTATGCAAATGAAACATTGTAGGCAACGACAGCGCGCCGAAAAACACGGTGGAGACTCTCACGGCTCCAGGAGGTTCAACCGACTCTGACAATGACTTGGCATCTTGGGTCTGGTCGTCCATGAACCCAGTGGAGACGCTGGAGTGCATTGTTGGAGCTGCAAGCATTCTGACGTAAACGCCCGCGTTAATGTTCTTTTGATATTACCTTTAAGTTCCCTCCATTGGCTGCCTATTAAAAATAAACGTCTAGCAAGTAAATCTGCCTTGACAGGTGTTATTTCAAAACTCTGAAAGGATGTGTGCGGTGTCCAGCATGTGGCATGGCCGAATAATATCCACTTTTGACTTTAGGGGAATGAAATATGGGTGTGGGGATTAGGTGAACCAGTTAATTTGCTCAAGGGAGATGCTTATTCGCTGATTGGGCATAGTAAATTCCAGAGGGTGTTTGAGTGATAATAATTCCGATCGCTGAGATAGAGGCAATGTTCGTCTGACGTGCCCGGTGCATGTAAGATCTATGACCAGAAGATGAAGATGCGATCACTGGGACAAGAAGTTTATTTGCCTGACGTTTCGGATTCTCACTCGAACCCATCATCAGAGACATTCGCAGATAGAGGTGAAGGTGGCACCAGGAGTGCAGTATTTATAGCACGTGGCTGCCGTGGGACCGTATGCGCACTGCAATTAACAGTTCTCACAATCGCCGCTGGGGTCGTAATTGATGCGGCGGTGGCTTGGCGGTCCGAGTCCGAGTTGTTAATTGCCGCGATTTCGTCATCCGTGCTCGATGCTGGTGTGACGATTGCTCGGCAAACTGGCTCACTGTCACCGTGATAATTGCTCACCCGCGCCCTCCCCACGTGACTGATTCTCCGGCCCAGGGAAAATCGCAACACGGAATAGGGCACCGGGAGGTCATTGTGTTTGTTGATGGATTGCGGGCCTGAGAACCATGACTCGAGCAGCTCGCGGCTCACGCGGTTGTCACCTCTTGCGAGGATTTCGGCCTCTTGAAATTTGAAATTATGGCCGGGTCCCGTCGAGTGTGCCGCCACCTGAGAGGTAGCGTCTCCCCGCCTCATTGCTGCTGCGTGCTCGGCAAGTCGCGTACGGAGTAATCTCCCAGTTTCTCCGACATGGTTGCTTTGTCCGCAACTACACCAGATCCGGTAAACGACTCCAGACGTTTCCTGCCGTGGCAGCGGGTCTTTTGGCCTCATTACTTGGCGCCTAATGGTTGCTTCCGGCCTGTGTGCAACCCCAACTCCAATTGGAGTGAGAAGACGACTGACGGCTTCCGAGACGTTCTTCACGTACGGAAGAACCCGCCAAAATTTGGGGCTAGTTGGATTTAGTCTCTGGTGTCCTTTTCGTATGCACTGGTTGACAAAGTTGCGCGGGTAGCCATTGGCTCTCATTACCCGTCGAAGATATTGTAATTCAGCAACCTTGTCTTCCATTTCACTGCAGTGCGTCTCAACACGCCGGTATAGCGCCCTTACGCAACTGCGTTTGTGACTGATCGGGTGGTTGCTACTGAAGTTCAGTATTTGCGTCGTATTTGTCGCTTTGGTTTTTAGGCCACCACAATCTTTGCGGCAGACGAGGACATCCAGGAAGGCCAGCTGATTGTTTTCCTCCTCCTCCATCGTAAATTGAATGTCCGGGAAGACGGCGTTGAGTTGTTCTTTGAAAGTCAGCACCTGATCCCGTTCGATGACGACGAAGGTGTCATCCACATACCGAGCCCAGAATTTCGGTCTGTGGTGTCGGAAAACCAGCGACTCCAGCCGTTGAAGGACCGCTTCGGCTATGAGTCCCGAATTCGGCGAACCCATTGGCGTTCCCTTCACCTGCTCGTAGATTGTTCCGTCGAATGTAAAGTACGTCTTGAGACGGAACTTCAGGAGCTGGATGATTTGGGCGTGTCCGAGGCGATTCCCCGTTTCGTCGTAGTGAGAATCCGAAACGTCAGGCAAATGAACTTCTTGTCCCAGTGATCGCATCTTCATCTTCTGAACTGCTACCTGGGACTCGCCTGTTCGCTTCTATCACATCTATGACCGTAGACAGCGGAGGATGAGGAACTGAAGAGGGGTGCCGATGATGATGATGATTATGACGATGATGAAGAAGAAGAAGAAGAAGAAGAAGAAGACCAAGATGATAATGCTGATGCAGCTGCTGCTGCTGCTGCTGTTGCTGTTGTTGTTGTTGTTCTCGTTGTTGTTGTTGATGATGATGATGATGATGATGATGATGACGATGATGATGATGATGATGATGATGATGATGATGATGATGATGATGATGATGATGATGATGATGATGATGATGATGATGACGAACGAGGGCTCGACGGTCGTAGTCGTCCTGTGGTCTGCTTACACTTATCTCTCTCTCTTTCGACAGAATGTGAAACGCCGGGTGGCGTTAGTCTTTTACTGCGGCCAAAACATCGAAATAAAACACCGGACATGATTGTCATCATGTATGGAATGCCAAAGAGAGATTTAGCCATCATAGGTAGAAGTGTGGTTTCGGAAGCATTCTGTGACGTTACGCATGTCCGCTTTTTTCAACAGTGGGAGACAGTGAGACAGTATAATGATGTCGGACATTGTCATCCGTTTGTGAAAAAGCACCTGAAATCTATACCGAATATACGCTCGCCCCAAGCATCACCTCCAGCAGAACGGCATAATACAAAATTTGTCAAGTATATCACCTCTTAAGTTAATCCTATTTCCCATTATTTTCTACTATGCAAATATCCAAAATTCACACTTGCATTTCATCTAATTCTCACAAATATGCTAGAAAAATAGGCTGCTACTGGCGTCATCCATCTTATTGCTTATCTCCAAAATTTCTTCACGGTCAGTTGGTTGCCGTTTCTGCTGAAGATCCCGAGGTTTGAGCCCTTTCTGGAGTTCTGCTTAGTAGAGATCACGAAGGGCTTCAAAGTCTCATGCGAATGAAACAAAGTGTATTCTAAAAAAACGATGTTCGAAAATTGCTGTGGTAAGTCAATGTGTTGCTAGCCGAAATAGGATTCCCTCAGTCGGCAATATCTACGTGAATATGACCCGCTGCGGTGGGATGTGGTTTAGTAGACCCACCTGAATGAAGCAAACCCCAGTCACCTCTAATACGGTAACCGGTGGTAATAGGGGGTTCTTACAGGTGGAGCCGGGGAACGCACATGACACGAGGTCAAGTAGTTGCATGCAAAATAAAAGCTGACACTTTTTTGCGTTTCCAATCATAATTATTGAAGTACTGGCATCAATATCTCACCATAATTATTCACAGCAGTCAGCAGTGGGAATTCGGACAGCAACCACCACCACCACCACCACCACCACCACCACCACCACCACAAGGGGATGTGATGTGGAACGCCAAGGTGCCGGCCCGACCGTGCTGTCCACCTGTGCCCTTCCCCGCCTCCGGTCTTCGTGACTCTGTCTTGATACCGGGTCCATGTGGGGGAGAAGAGAGTGCGATGGATGCTGTGAAAGTTCAATATCACTATAAACTAGCTCACGCACAAATCACCGCCCCTGCTCTCACCTTGCTGTGGAGCACACGGTGGACATCGTCGACAACAACGACCGAACTATCGTGTGTGCCACACTCAAAGTAGGTAGTCGACCGCTACATGGAAACCAATGGATCCTGACCCTCGGCCGGTCAGTTGGGAACTGCCGAAGACGCAACCTTTAGCACAGTTTAAAATCGCGATACATTTGCCACATTCAACAAAATAAATTTCGGTGATATGATTTTGCTATATAGAGCTGATATGAATGCACCAGTCTGACATGTACGATTTTACGGGACGTACTGACTTTGATTGCACGCTTGACTTTTCCGAAATTTACAATTGTTTTTTTCAAGACAGTTTCATCGAGGAATGCAAAAACGTCCTCATGTCCTTTTTTCCAGAGGGGACGGAACACACAGACGACTATGGTCGCCTAGTCAATGGGAAACACACCCAGTAAGCTGTGCGGCTGTTGGTTGGGATCAAGAAAGAGAGAGAGAGAGTCCGACGAGTGAGATCCTTGCGCGCCCTCTTACCAGTCCTTCAGAAATTATTAGTAGAAACGCAAAGGAAGGGTTATCAGTTGCAATGGAATTCCAGATTAATTTTTTTGAGGTAGCACAGCATGCGTTATTTTGTAATTCAGGTCTAGGTTCAGAACATGGCATATTTCTAACGGAATATTTATGTAATAATATAACCTAGATACATCTGAAGATGAAGATAAGCTCTCCATACTGAAGTCCACTTAGCTCCCCTCGACGGAGTGGTGACTTACAAAGCACACAGGCAAAACGCCCGTCAACCATCTCCCGAGAGGCCGAGGCAGTGAGAGGAGAGAAAATTCGATCGTTCTATTCTAAATTTAACTTTCGATAGCGGCGAGAAGAGGCGATGTACTGTCTTCTTTGAGCACCTATAACATCCACTCAGTTAGTTAGTCGAGACACTTTGAAGTGTGTGTGGAAAGTAATGAATGAACCAGGTAAACCGAAGACCATTGTGTTTGTCCATTCGAGGTTGTTGTTTGATGCTAGTCGAAAGGGCCGCCAAGGCAATCGAGTTGAGGTTTGACGCACTCCTAGTTTCGGCTGTCTTGATTTAACAATATCTGAGCCTATCCCTATTCCCGCCCTTCTTCATGGTTTTTCGTCTTGAATTAGATGTTGCGAGTTTACAATTACGTCCCGAATACGATCTGCGTCTCATTTTTCCTGTCAGATGTTTAACCGCAGCATTTGGATCGGTTGCCATGCAGCCGTAACCATGGTTCCCTCCAGAGGTGACAGTCTGCGACAGCCCATCCGATCAGCTTGATCCATCCTCTTGCTCAGTATTGGAAATCTAAGGCATAAGGCGAATGACTAAACTCGCACCGTCTGGTGGCTAGAGCGTTGGCTGTACTCAAGCCTTTCTCTTGCTGTAGTGGATTCGAATCCCACCGGGGCAGCGAGTTTTTCCCAGTTGGGTCAAAGTGAATCTGGGTTTTAGGTTGATCTCCTCTTTGGCACCTCCAGGTAGACAACGACGTCAGATAGTGAGAATCTGAAAGCACCTTTGTTTCTTGAAACGGTATCGGCATTTTATGTTCATTGTTTAACTACCTCACTGGACTATTTAAAGCTGCCTAATTCTTCATACTGACATCCAGCAATCCTGAGAGGTGTCTTTTTCTGGAGGATCGACCAATTTAACGACTTTATCCATCCGTTACGCCAAAGTTTCAGACTGGAAGAGCGACATGGTCAGTGTTCTTGTGATCAGTAATCCGGCGATTGGGTGTAAATGCAACGCTGTCAAAATCGTGTAATACTCCTCCGGTAGTTTCGTCAATAGCGTAGCTGATCAGCACGAACCATATGATAAATTAGCGTCAAACGATAAACCAAACATCGAGTGGATGGGAGAGATTGCTTTGGACCAGAGCATGTGTACTGTTGGGGCGATAGTAGACTCGGAACATGATGAATTTTGTCGGCATGCCATGTAGACTCTTAACCCGTTACAGAGAGTCGGGATTAACATAATCGAGTTTTTCGGCAAATTAAACAAAGAAGACGGCCATCGGTTGTCACTAGGGGTTCCGGAGATGTAAAATGCGCCACAGTGTGAATATTTGATCCGCCCATCCACGCCCAACGCGAGTCACGCAACCTTATAATCAACTTAGGCTAACAACACAGGAAGCCTTCGCATCAACGTCTATTGGACACATGTCGCGGTGGTTTTCGCTATTCGCCCAATCGCTGGCTGGAGCCAGGACGCTGGAGTGTCAGCACACGACTTGTCGACTTCAGTGAGGACACCGTCCTCGCTAAAAGTCTTGTTGTTGTTTTGCAGCCTACGTATACGATCGAAGACGTCTTCCTGAGGGCGATGGGGGGGGGGGAGATAAAACTCTGCTCAAGAGCAGATCGGCTGCTTAAAATGCTCATCCCAGCGCTCGCCCCTCTGGCCGATTTGTCGACAATATAGTCGCCACCCATATCGCAAACAAAGTTACCCAGTATTAACTTGACGAATGGTATGGTAGTTCAAGAGTACTGCCGATATTTGAGACGTTCTATCATAGAAGTTGTAACTTAAGCCCAGTATTTTTTACGGTCATTTCTGGTCAAATTCGCGCTATTTCCTGGAGTTCACAGATGGGATCATTGGTGTGAGACTTGGGATTGTAAAAAAGAAACCTTTTTCAAGGACGCAGAATGTGACAAGGATGATATCTGTTTCGCAATATGCATGCGACGGTGTGTGGGTGAGTGATAATCTATTCGAATTACTGAATGCTCTAATGTCAGCTGACTGTAAATGCTGGAATAAGCGAGCAATCTTCCGCATCCTTAACCAAGAACTGACAGTGTGCAGTCCACATCGTCATAACATGGCCGTCTGTTGCATATTCGGGCTCTAATTTCCATAATCGGGGCTATGGGAAATCAAGATCCTTAGGTAAATTCGCACCTTAATTGCCGTCACAACGACACATGCGAATTTTGGGAGAGGCAGTGTAACGATTGACCCTGGGGACATTGGAATCAGCATGGGCGTCTGTTGCATATCCGGGCTTTTAAGGTGTTTGAATTTGAGGAGAGTCACGAAAAGGAGATGGAGCTGGAGAAGAAGGAGGCATATAGAGGCAGGTTTCCTACTGAACTCTGGTTATTACTCCGAATGGCGCTTCCACAGGCAGAAATATTCGAAGATCAATTTCCCCTGATTCGAAGCTGTCCTGCATTGAACGAAATTCGCCTTGCTCAGGACATAAAGGATCTGCGAATAGAGGTAATTTTCCTTACTGCTGACGTTTGTGTGTATGTTTGCCAGGTTAAGGGCTAGGCAGTGCTCCACGCCGATCGAATAATTCTAGCGGACCGTATACTTTAATTGCCATTGCAATTTTCTGTGGAGAGGGACGAGGACGAGACGGAGACCTAGCAGAAGAGGAAGATAATGATGATGATGAAAATGAGAAGAATAAGACGAAGAAGAAGAAGAATAAGAAGAAAAAGAAGAAGAAAAGAAGATGAAGAAGAAGAGGCAGAAGAAGGAGGAGGGAAAAGAAGAAGAGGAAGAAGAAGAAGAAGAAGAAGAAGAAGAAGAAGAAAAGAAAGAAGAAGAAGAAGACGAAGAAGAAAAAGGGGAAGAAGAAGAAGAAGGGGGAGTAGGGGGAGGAGGAGGAGGAGGAGGAGGAGGAGGAGGAGGAGGAGGAGGAGGACGAGGAGGACGAGGAGGAGCAGGAGGAGGAGGAGAATAAAAATGAGTAGAATAAGAAAAAGAAGAAGAAAAAGAAGAAGAAGAATGAGATAAAGTAAGATAAGGCCACCAATAAATGATTTACGCACTTGTTTCTGAAGCGCATATTTCTAACTTCTCTGTCTCTTCTGTTCTCCCGCCGGACAGAGCCGGCAGATGAGTCTACTTATCATCCCGTCATTGTCCATTTCTGAGTTTGAATTTGAGAAGGAGAGGGACGCGGAGGAGACGGAGATGGAGAAGAAGAAGGAGGCAGAAGAGGAAGCAGAAGAAGAAGATGAGGATAAGGAGAAAAGCAGAAGGAGATAGTGGAGAATAAGAAAATTGGGGTGAAGGAGGACAACAAGCAAAGAGCAATAAGTGAAAGACGTTGATGGTAGTGGATGGGAGGAGGATGATGGGAGGAAGGGGAGAAAACATAAGAAGAGGCAACCCGAACGAGTACAGAGCCAAGAACATCGAATTATGGAACATAGAGCAAACTTCGCTAGTGTACCTTATTCTCATGCAGCAGCGTTCTGTACCATTAGTCGCCCATTCCTGTGACTAGACAGGATGTCAACAGAAATCCCTACTCATAAGAAAGCATGCTATCGTGCCAGTATTGTACATGTCCTGGTACATAATAATCTGTCCTTTTGTATTCGATTTTCGGTCGGGCGTTGACCAAGGTTTCAACTTGTGCAATATCCTGTCTACGTGCATCCTTTACGGGAATTCCAAACGTTAGCTGCGCTTTGAAGGTCGGTAGTTAGCATCAGGGTGAAGGCTGAGTGATCTGGATTGCAGTAAGTACAGCGTCCCGATATCACGAATGGCTGATGACCTACGCAACTCAGTATCCTTGTATCCAGCTTTCTCATCAATGTTAAGAGGAGTTAATCGTTAGGCTGATCTGGTTGAATCCAACTTTGTGTGTCATACGAGCTCTGCTCTCGCTATTCGTGTGTGCGAAAATATTATCTTCGCAAACTGGCGTTATGTGTACACATCGAACCGAAACCGTCTGCCTATAATTCAATCCCCGCCTCCTCCCTCCCCCCACGGTTTTTTTACTGACTTGGCACACGTCAGTCTACTTGGCAGTTAACACACGCCATAGGCGACTTCTAGGTAGCTTAGCCTTGATCAAGGAAAAACTTGCGACTCCTTTTTTGGTAATTTACCAACCCCCCCCCCGCCCATCCTCCTGTGCCAACCATTGCCCAGTCGAATCCGCACTGTGCTGCCATCAGCCAACCAGAACCTACAGGTCGTCAGTGCTCGCGTGCGTGCGTGTGTAACCTCTTGAGCCACAGTAAAATACAGCCTCCGTGGCTCTCGTAGCATTCCGTCTCTGCTGCTCTGGTTACTACTCCGAATGGCGCTTCCACAGGCAGAAATATTCGAGGACCAATTTCCCCTGATTCGAAGCTGTCCTGCATTGAACGAAATTCGTCTTGCTCAGGACATAAAGGATCTGCGAATAGAGGTAGGTTTCCTTATTGCAGACATTTTTGTGTATGTTTGCCAGGTTGAGGGCCGAGCAGTACTCCACGCAAATCGAATAATATTAGCGGCCCGTGTTCCTTCTTTGCGAGCCGCTCTCAGTGGTCCACTCGGGGAGGTGAATTCGGTTCTCAGATGGCCCACAGTGCCTCTCAAGTAACATTTGCATCGGTTCTCTGACTTTTCTTACTCTTTGCACACTTCATAGCCTCGCAACTACATTCATTCAGTATGTTTACACGGGTCAGGTGGAGATGACGCAAAGTAATGCGAGAGGCATGGTTACGCTTGCCAGAATGGTCCAACTGCCTGACCTTGTGAACTGGGGAGTTACATTCATGGTCAGAGGGTAACTATCGTCCTGGCCTTACCTACGCACACTAAAGCCTCAATGTAGAAACTCTGCCAGCAATTTGGGACTTTGCCAGGACCCTGAATGTGGAAGTACTGGCGGAGAAGTGTATTGGCCTGATGAAGGAGCAGTTTGAGCACTTCATTCAAACCGACCTCTTTGTCAGCTTGCCCACTGAAACTGTGTTCACTCTGCTTCGCAGCGATGATCTCTCGGTGGGATGTGAGGAGCAGGTAATTGGGGCCATTGCGCGCTGGGTAGACGCCGGTGGTGTTGCCGATGATGAGAAGCGGAGAGTGCACGCTCCGGCAATGCTGAAGGAGGTGCAATGGCAGCTGACGAGCGTGCAATGTCGCAGTCGCCTGCTGGATAGTTATCCAACACTACGGAAAAGCCCCGAATGTCTGTAAGCTGATGTCATTTCAGCCCTGTTAATTTGAGATAAAAGTTGTCTATTGCTTCAGGTGGAGCACTGGATTGGCGCTGCAGTGAAGGACAAGCCTCCTCGCCCCTTCAACATCAGGCCACGCCTAAGCCAGACGTTCTTCGTTTTTGGAAAGGATAAAGGTCAAGACAGGTACTCTGTCCTTCGCGTTGACGCGCACCTGCGGCGGGCAGAACGAGTTGCTAACATGAAGGGTCCTCGTAGTCATGCCTCCTACAGTGTCGTGGGCGGTGAGTTGCCGGACAGCGCATGTCGTTGGTTTTTGTTCTTGAAGTTTAATATCTTTCTGTGTGCGCGCAGCATTTGCTATTGCGTAGGCATCTCCAGCTCTTGAGTTAGTCCACAGAAGCAGCCGCAGGTGCTGTTTTGAAGAAAGCAAATTAATTAGGAACTTGAACAAGTAAGCATTTTGTGGCGACTGGGGTTCCTTTTTTGAAGATGGTCTATCGGCCAGTTACTCTTGTGTAAAGGCTCTCAGCTGGCCGCCTTATGCGTAACCTTTTCCACCCTCCACCAGGAGAGAGCATTTTCGTTGTTGGAGGAGGATGCAACCCAGTGCGCGCTGATGTCGACGAGTTTTTGGTGAGAGAAGGACGCTGGCGCGAGCGTACGCCCCTCGCCTTTGCACGTTGGGAGCACGCAGCTGCAGTCAAAAAGGTTCCCGCCACGGCCGCCGCAGCCGGTGAGAAGACGCTGATTGGCGTTTTTGGTGGATGGGGTAGATATGAACGCATTTCCTCCTGTGAGCTCTATGACGTCAGCCAGGACAGGTAAGAAGACGCCGGTCGTCTTGGCACATCCATTTTTGCCATAAATATCACTCACTCACTCACTGTCCCGCTTTCCCTCCGCTTGCCTCGAACAGATGGCACAAACTGACCGATCTGCCGGAGAAGAGGAGCAGTTCAGCTGCAGCCTGCCTACCCGGCGACAGTCGGGTCTTCATTTTTGGCGGTTACGATGACTCCTCCTCCCCGCTGGCTTCCGTGGTCTTCTGCCATCTGCGG